GTTCAAACGACAAGGTTTATACGAGTCGACCAACAGCATCTACCTCTCTGACCGATTAAACAATGCCATGGCGCTTAGCGAATGCCCAGAAGGCCGAGGTGCATCTAGTATAGTCACAATGACATCAGTTGCCAAGTCGACCGATGGTCAAATTTCTGCCATGACTGGCGGATGCTGTGCTGACAAGGCGGATGCTGTAGAGAAGCTGTTGGCGTCGGAGAAGCTGATTGCTGAGCTAAACGAGACATTCGAAGAGAAGCTGCGTAAATCAGAGGCCCTACGAGAACAGAGGTGAGATATGGTAGTCAATTGCTGTAAATCCGAATACTTTCGAGCCTATGTTCCCTTGAATAATTAAGGAAGCATACATAATAGCATATATATATATATATATACGAAATAGGGTGAATAGACTTCAGATATAAATGATCTACTGGTAGTCTCGAAATGCTACTTATGAACAAAAAATAAGCAATCTAATCGATTATCATAGCAAATATAACTTTGCCTTATCTACAATCCTACCAAAGAATCGGATATGGGAGGATATCTGGCCCTCCTTGGAATTCACATCTACCCTGTGACACAATGGAATTCAGGGCAGTGTGATGTGGTGTTTAATGTACTGAGATTGTACGCTCGACTGCCATGGTTCGAGTCCCTCTGAGGTTGTGATAGGATCTAGGTGAGGCCTAAACTGTAGTCCATTCTGGATGCAAATACCTTCTGGGAAAGCAAGGCTATGTGAAATTTAATGGGAATGCAAGATCTATTCATATCAGTGTAGAAAAATTCAACTAACAGTCCCCTTATTACCTTGAGCGAAATAGGGTGAATATATTTCACATTTAGGTAGGGGAACATTTTGTTTTAATGAGCATAAAATCATTGAGTAAGGGAACTCTAATTATGCCCATATTAATTAACAAATATTAATTTTATATACTGTGCAATGACACCCCTGGATTCAACCAAATTTTCATTAAATTATATTCATATTAAGTAGCTTTTTAATACTTTCAGTAGATCTTGAATAAAAACTATAATAAAAACTACTAGCGTGATAGCTGCATTATATCAGACCTTCATAATCTTACTCTACTTTAAGTGAATTTATTTGTTATTCAAGAAACATACTTAAGGCAAATAATTATAGGTAACTTAGTTAATGGTAATGCAGATGTAAGCTTCTCTCGGTGATATGTGAGAGACCTGGGCTGCCCTTAACGTCAAGTCTGTTCACTGTCATCCTTAGCCTTTTAGCAGTATGTTAACGTGTCGCTATCCTATGCACACGACCCGAGTTTAATTCTGGTTGTAGTAGTCGTTTTTATAGAAGAATTTTCCCATATTAGGATGCTTAGGCCTCACGTTTCTATTGTTTTTCACCTAAACTTTCTTCCCAAAAGGTAGTCTCATCACTGGAGGTGCTGATGAGAGGTATAAGCTGCAGTCGAGCCGGGCTTTAATATCTTTTGAATGTCAGGGCTGAGTAAAAATCAGAAGTATTGCAAAACCTACTCATACCATTGTGGAATAATTCATCCATCAGGCATTCATTCACTTATGTGACCTAGGATTGACCACTGTTATTTACACATTGATTTAAAAGTAGATGGGAAAAAATATCAAAGGTATTCGTTTTATAGGTAATGGACGAAAGCAAGAGAAAAAGCTTGTGAATACTGCCTGTATGATGTCAAACGGCCTGGGTCACTTTGGCCATGTCTCAAAGCTTTAGGGCCGATATGAAAATTCTGTTTCAAGTTGAGTTTCGCGATGCTTCGGCTAAAGCCGTCTCGAAAAAAGTCTAATGAGGGTGATATTGTTGTAAACTACTGACAGACCCAGAACAATGGAACTGTTTGTACAGTCAATTATTGTGGAGTTGGCTGTATTTAATTTGGCGTGCACAAAAGTAGGTGAAAAATCTGGTCGCAGGTAAATACAGATGCTAACTTGCGCCTCAAGCAGTTGTGATAAGTATTAAAAAACATAATCACTCTGGGTAGCTTCAGAAGACTTGACGATTGATATTTTAACTTTTCCCACAAGGTTGTGAGTTTCACTTGGTCATACTCCCTTAAAGTCTTTCTTATTTCGGCTTTACGGCAGTTTCAACTTCTCCTAGGTCTCATCATTACTTCCAACGTAATTCGAAACAGGTTGGTATCGCGGTTATACATTACCAATCTGCTATGCGGTCATGAGGGCAAGTGTGGCTCAGGGAAGATGTGAATTTCAAGGCAAGCCAGACCTCTCCCATGTAACATTAATCGTGGAATTTTCGATGGAGAAAATGTGTATTTGCCTCCATAACCGATTTTATCACTTATATTTCGTTTACTTTTGTATCAAAACTTGAAGTAATTTTTGACCACTCTATAACGCTTATGCTGACTCAACTTCGTATCTTCCTAGTCGAGGTTGAAACTGCAGTCTCAATGCGAAAAGAAGCCCTAGTTTATGTTGGAGAACTTTTCATTTTGTTTGAAAAGGCGAATGAATGTGACTCGTAAGTTGGTTCCACCGGGGGCTATGGGGGAGTTGTAGATTTGTGTGAATAGGTGCTCGGCGCACCGCCCTGCGACCACTATGAATCCTTGCTGAGCCTTCGTCCTTAATGTGATGGACATAATCATAGCAGGACACCAGGCTTAACGATAATTTACCAAAATTCACCCATCTTCTTCGACAGATTACACGATGGCAACATAAGGATCCTGGTAGAGTGGTCTATCTCATTCATACAACACGCATGCAATGGGACGCAATCACATGCGGTAACATTGCAGGATGCAGCTGTTCGGTTTTAGTTGCACCCATTTCAAGCTTCATCTGTAGCCACTTAACTTAACCTATAAGCAAATATAGAGGCAAAGCATAGAACATCCAACCCAAACAGGAGTGGACCAAATTGGAGTACAAGAAAGAAGTAGGTTTGAAGCCAGCCACCTTTCATGCCTTCGGGGTTTGGGTGAATTATCGTTAACACTGGTGTCCTGCTCTGACGATGTCCATCAGATTTTTTGCACAAATCTATAAACACAGCTCCAAGGCAACTCCCCCATAGCCCCCGGTGGAACCAACTTACGAATCCCTTCCTCTCGCCTCTTCAAACGAAATGAAAGGGATTCTTCGATGCCCAGTTTTTCTACAAAAATCTTTATTGAACGTCTTTAAATGACCTTAAGCGATCTAGGATGACTAAGTTTCTAGCTAGGAATTACTGATACTTTCTAACCTCTCAAATTAAAAGTGATAATTCTTTTTCTTCTTACTCTGGAAAAATACTAATTTTCAGGTTTCAACAGCCCAATTCACCATCACCTTGTCCTATTTATTACCCCACTTTTAACTACCCCATAGAGAGAATGAACTGACGGAGATGGGAATCGCAGTACACAGTGATCTGGGCGTAACCGGCGTGTTTTCTCCGAAGCAGGTAGCCGAATTTAGCTTTCTGAGTATTTTCTGCCTCGGCTTATCTTAATTTATTCATTCTTGAATATATGCAATCCAGATGGGCAAGAGGCTTCTAGACGCCTCCCACTTTTCAAAATTTAAGGACTGTTTAAACAGCATGTGGGACTCCTCAGATGTGGGCCTAGTAGGAGCAATAGCAGTCCGCCTTGGTAACAGAATTTCAGTTACACTCTCTTGTTGTGGTATCATGTAGGGGTTTATTCATTTTTCATTATGTCCTGTTATTTATCTTGTCCGATTTTCCCACTCTCCTTATTTTAATTTGTTGTATCAGGCCTTATTTCATCTTGTCTTACAATCCTGAGGGCATACATACCCAGCAGTCAGTGTCTGGGTACTAAATAGAATTGTAAATTCCTTGAGCTTATTATTATCTCCTTTGCATAAAAAACCTAAAACCATAGCATCATAGGCCAGTTTTATAACTTTTATTACTACTCCTAATACATGTAGACATCCCTTTTTTGTTGGAACAGATTTTGTCAATAGATAAGTTGCTATTTGTTGGATTTTGATTCAATAAATAACTTCTTTCTGTCCTCAAACGATTTTTTTTATTTATGTTTACCTGGTTTATTTGCAGGCTCCTCATCTGGTAAATCTGAACGAAGATCCTGCTATGTCTGAGTGCCTAATCTACTACCTAAAGGAGGGTGAGACTGTGTAAGTCAAGAGCACCTATGTGGGCTGAGGTCTTAGAGACTATGCTTATTTTACCAATCGAGACCCTCTTTTGAAGATTTTTAAAGAGGAAATTTATTATTATTTATATCATACCATGCATATATTCTTGTAAATGTCAAAGCCTATACTTTAATGATCTTGAGGCGAAAATTGTGACCCGCAACTTAAGGGTGTTATTCTACAATTCGGTTTCACAATCGAAATTGCTACAGTCTAGATTAATGGGATCTTAATAGAACTTCATTAGTAGAAGTGTCTAATCAAACTATAAATATTGTGAATAGGATGATTTACTTGATTTAGAAGAACCACTTAATAGATTAAATTGCCTAGACAATACATTGTATATAAAATTTGGATTCAGGACCATCATATTATGGTCCCACTTATTTCAAGGGATGATATTTCAAAACTGTCGT